AAATTTGTATTGGTAATTCAACAATGTACCCCTTACTCATTATCACTTGACTAGTCCCTACTAACACTCGTAATACAGGAAATAGTGCCCCCAGGTAATGCTAAATGTTGAATAATTCGAGGATGCATGAAATTGTCAGAACTGCCCCTATCCAGTAGCACTTGTACTATTATACCATGAATCAACCCATCAAATTAGATTGTAGCTGTACTAGAAGAGCCCCTGAATGCATATAATGACAAATGATGTAACATCGCCTCTTCTGGTTTGGTCTCAGTTGTTAATGTTTCCTTTAGTTCATCTTCCCCTATAAGCATCATTAATTGCTTCTTTGTACATCTATGAGTAGGAGAGAATTTCTTATCACAAAAATAACACAATCCTTTCTCCCTTCTAATTTGCATCTCAGTTGGTGTGATTTGTCGTATAGGGGGTTGGTTTGGAGTTGGAAGTAACGCGGGTAGAACATTTTTGTTGTTTGAAGAGCTTGGAATGGTATTCGGTGTTACTACCAAAATCCCACTTTTTCCTGTCCCAGAAGTCGGTGAGGGTGAATATGCCATTCATAAATGGGCTGGCATCAACATGACATTCTCTCTATCTGCATACAGCCTTCCTAAGGCCACAGCCTTTAGCAAAGTTATCGGCATGCCATCACATCTTTCCTTAACTTTGTTTTTAATCCACCCATAAAATAGTTGATTAGTGAATTTTTAGTTATTTCTTCCGATCGATTAGCCAATGCCATAAAAGATTTTACATAATCTTCATATGACCCTTGTTGGGTAAGTTTGAATAACTGTACTCTAGCACACTCATATTGAGTGGGTCCAAAATGAGCCTCTATTGCTAGAGACAAGTCTGTTCAGGTGGGTACTTGGTTTGCTTTTTGTAACATTTGGAACTAAGGAATTGTCGCACCTTTCATGTGTATTCCAACTATTATCAATTTTTGAGCATCCAAAGTCTTATATAAAACTAGAAATATTGCTTTGCTCAAAACAACCAATCTGCTGGTTCAGTGCCATCAAATCGAGGAAAATCAACCTTAACTTGTTTCAATGACCAAGCTGCATTCTGATGGCTGTGTGGAATCAGAAAACCTGGTGCATTTTTAGGTGAGTCATCTGATCGTTTCCTCTTGTAACATAACTCCTCAGGTGTATGTGTCATGGTTTCCATGAATTTCTTGATAATAGTAAATTTATCCTTCATCTCCTCCATGAATTCCTGTACCTTCTTCATTTCGCCTTTCATTCTCTCAACGAGAGCACCAAAATATCACGTTCACAATATCTGAAAAATTGGAATTCAACAAGAAATGCAGAGTAATGGAATATTCAACAATATTCAATACTGATAAAAGAGTAATGGGTCTGTTGCAATTCAATGACAGAAGGAATTGAAATAACATTAAGCATAACATAAACAGAAATACGTAGTAATCTGCGGGAGAAGAGATTCAGAGAGAGAAATACAATCATGACCAACTTCCCTCTACCTCTCTCGAGTGTTGCTCCTCTTATTCTTCCCCATCTAGGTTTAGCTCACGCAATTTCCATGTGAGTTTCCTAACTTGTTTGCTCCTCTTAGGCCCTTATTTATCCACTAAGTGAATTGGGTCAAAGCCCGTTACCTCCTCATGTCTGAATCCATTTTCTACAGCATCAATCTCTTGGGCTGTGACAAAGTACTTCTCTAGTCCTCTTTTTAAGTCATTTGTACTAACGTTGTCAAAACTAATGCAAAAAAAATATGAGGAATAAAAGTGTGTAAAATTTCAAATATGTCCCTATATAATACATCCAAAAAGTGATATTATGTTTCTATTCCATAAAGAATAATTTTAAAAATACTTTTTAAATATTACCTAAAATGTCATATCATGATTTACAAATGAAACCAAATAAACTTTTTAGAACATGTTTTATAAATGAGATTGGAGGGAGTAAATCTTATTTGTACTCAACGTTACTTTCTCCTGAATGCATTATTTTAAAGGACCACAATGTGTTGTGAAACTTTCAAGCTTTGTTGTAATTAGGCCCTATATTCATGACTTGGGAATTGTGCGGGTGCTCAGTTTCTTGGTCTCTTGTTTTTCTTTCATATTTTCCTACATAATTATTCTCTTGTATTATTTTTTTCTTGGGGATGAGATCATTAAAAAAAAAGAGTCATTTAGGTATGCTTAAATTCTTAGTGAAGATGAGCATGTTTGATGCTTATTAGTAGACCAGGGTAGAGTCATTAGGTTGTAAAGAATGAGTTAAAGCATTCATTGTATTATTCTTAATGCCATAATCCCATTTTTAGAATTTATTTAAAAAGTTTAGAATTTTTTTTCATTTATCAAATTATTTCAACTTTTTAGTCTTTAGAAATAATGCTTCTTAATTGTATGTTCATTCTTTTTTGTTTTTATATTTTTCAATTAAGGTTTGACATCTTTTCTTAAAGAGATCATATCATATATCATAAAATTCATATCATTTTCAATCATTATGCACCTAAAATTTTTAAATTATATCATTTAAAAAAGTTTCAGTTTGTGAAACTGATTTTTTGACCAAAAAAATATTCAAATATAAATCATATTATAATAAGATTTTTATCTCAATTTCAATTTGAAAAATTCAATTTATAGATATTTCAATTTTGCAAATTCTAACTAAACACACACCACAAACATACATAAAAAATTCACAACTCATAAGCACCGAGGCCCAATCTTGTTGAACTGTTGGTTTCTCTGTAGCTTTCAAGAGTTCCAAAATTAAAAAACATACACAAGTTACTAAAACGTGAAACATGTAATTTCAATTTAAATTTTCCAATAAACTGTTCAGACATTTCTTTCAAGAGAATTAACAATTAATGTGCTCTTTTGTGGTCCTATAATCCTGCTTCATTACTTGCTGTCCTATAAGTCAGTCTTGTGCTCATAATTTTATTTAAATCTTTCTCTTTTTGAGAAAAAGCTGATGTTGATAACTGTTTAGAAATGTTAAAGATATTGCATAGTACTTTAACAGAAGTCGATTTTGCAGAGATAAATCATTATACCAGTGCAAAGGAAATCTGCAATAAACTTGAAGTGATGTATTAATGCACCGATGAGATTGAGGGTAAAATAAATACTCCGACTGTTGAGCAAGAATAAGAATGAGAATTCATCATCAACAAGAGATTCAATATCTATGTCAGCATTAATCAATTGTGATTTAGTTCTGGTTTTGTTTATTTTTTTGTCTCAGTCAAATAGTCAAACACCGAACGTTTGCAAAGGCACGTGGGTCATAGCTGAGTATACATAATGTACTTGATATCAATTGAATAAGATGAGCAGAGCTTGGGCTTCTTTGTTTTCTAGTTTTAATTTTTTTAAAAAAATTAAAAAGCTTATTTGAATAAGTGTTTTGAGTTTAATTATTTTAAAAATACTTATTTAGATAAGTATTTTGAAAAGAATAATTATTTCATTTTGTTTTTAAAAATAAAAAATAAAATACCATTAAGTTGTTTTCGTTTTATTTTTTATTTTTAAAATACACTACAATTAACTTGATCAATTTTTATCATAAATGGCCATTATTAAATGCCTACAACATCACTATCAACTTATTTTTTAATTAAAAAATGTTTTTAAATTAACAAAACTAAACAGATTTTTATTTTGTTTTGTTTTGAAAAAAAATTTTAAAAACTATATTACAAAATAATTTTTAACAATGAAACATTGGAACAGGATACAAAAACCGAACAAGCCCTTTATCTCCTTTTATTACATTTAACAGTGGTTTTTGGTAAGGAGGAGAGAAGAGGAGAGGAAAAATTCTTAGATAGAACAGGTGTGCGACGTCATTTGTAATCTGTCCAATAAAAATATAACATTTAAATAGTATTAAATATAAATTGATTCTAATATTAATGATAATAGAAAAATAAAAGATAAGAAATTAAATATGCATTCTATTATAAGAATAAAATCAATTAAAATAATATCACATAAAATTTTATTTAGATAACTTTGGGTAATTTAGTTGGATAAACCACAAATAATGTGGTGCACCCAATTTACCTAAAAAATTTTTAAGAGGAGAATACACAAAAGCTCAAAGGTGGTACACTTTGTGGATTGCGCTGCTTTAATTTTATAGGTAGGGAGAACTAATGAATATTGGGCACATTTAATCAGTGACTAATTATGCCTAAATCACAATTTAAAAACAATTTTTGGATAACAATGAGGTTTAATATATAGGCTACGATATAAATAGATTTAAGTAGGGAGATTATAATGTGGTTAATTAATATTATTAATGTAGATCATATTTATTCGTGGTTGAACAATAAATATCAGGCATGCTAGAGATACTGAGTCTCAATAGAAAATAAAAAGGATTCCGAATTTTCTTACCACAATTCATTCGGATGTAAAAAGATACAAAGCTTTGGTAGAATAATTGTATGATTTTATTGAAGTGTAAAAAGATTATAGACTAAAAACTAAAAACTGAAAAGGGTTTATGAATTTAAAATGTAAGAGTTTTGATAGAATGTTAACTAGCCTTCTTTATTTTTTCTTCTTTCTGTTTATAGTGTCGAATAGTGGAAGCCTTTCCCTTAGGACTTAGCACATTTTGCTGAAGAATCAGGAATCTCGCGAAACTTATGGCACGGTCTCTCCATTTTGATAACTAGCTCGTTTCACCAGACTACTTGGGTGTAGATTTTGGCATTACTTAGAATCATGTCTTTGTGCCAACAGTCTAATATTTATAGCTGATGAGATTTTGGCAAGTTTACTTGTTGTGGACTTTATTGAGCTTTGGGGCCAGCCCCTTTTGTTTATATCGGGCTTGACGCTTCAATTAGCCCAACTAGCCTTGTAACCTATTTGAGCGACGTTTCATATTTAGCCCAAACAATATTTAATTTTCTTTTGAAATAACAAATAAATTTTATAATATCCAACACATCTATCTGGAGCTTTGACATAATCCAAATCTCTCCATGCTTTTCTAATCACAGGAAAAATTGCACTACTGTAATATGATCCCTTTTTGATAATAACAATAAGATGTCGCATAGAAAATGTACACAACGAAAGCCATGGTACTAAATGCTACAAGTAACCAATAAAAATAGTCAAGATGTGCTTGATTGATGTTATCATCAAACCAATTACTTTGTCCATCTTCATCACTACTTAATTTCTTTACCACTGAAATCATGAAGCTGCTTAGGAAGCAACCCATACCTGAGATACTCAAAAACAAAGCAGAACCCATGCTTCTTAGTTCATTTGGGACTTGATCATAGAAGAATTCTTGAAGACCAACCATAGTGAAAACGTCAGCAACACCAAACAAGAAGTATTGTGGAATCAACCACCAAACACTCATTGGAACAATGGCATTTGGTTCATCAATAAGACCAAAGTTTTTCACTGCTTGTAGTCTTTTCATCTCTACTAGAGCTGCAATGACTAATGTAACTATCGATATGACCATTCCGGTTCCGATTCTTTGCAGCGTCGTGATGCCGTAGGGTTTGTTAGTGATTGAACTCGCTATTTGTACAATTATGCAGTCATAGATGGGAGTGAAGAAAACTATGGCTCCAGGTAGCATTAGTTGAAGAGAAGCTGCAGGTATGTCAAAGCCTGGAAATATGGTTCTGTTCATTGTGTTCCCTTGCTTGGTGAAGAAAGTAATAGTTTGAGAGGAAGCTAAACAATAGACCAAACTTGTAGTCCAAATGGGAACAAGCCTTAGAATTGTCTTTGCTTCTTCCACTTCTTTAAGGGTGAAAACCACGTCTTCATAAGAATCATTTTGAGCAAGCAATGCTTTGTTTAAGAAGCTGCCTCAAGAGAAAATTGAATGTACTCAATGAATTTATATCTAAAAGAAACATAAACAAGGAATTTTAGCACAAATGGATAGGAAAACAGCGGGAAAGTATAATGAAAGAAAAATAAGTAAGCACAAGCTACTATATATAATTTATAGGCTATTTTAAATGCCATAACCAACTAGCTAGTGTTGCATATACTCAAACAAAAAGTGATGGGTAATATTAGCTTCTTTCATAAAGTTAATGGGTGCCCATGTATACCATTGTTGATCTAAAGATACTATAGAAGCTCCTGTAAAAAATGTTTATGGATATTGTTGCAGCTTAACAAAAAAAAAAATGCATACCAAAATATATAGGTTTTAACTGTCTCTCGACGGCAAAAATCCACTTTACAAAAAGATTTGAGGTTTCTGTTGATGTGTGATATTGTGTGTGTGTGTGTGTAGAACCCCCCCCCCCCCAGTTTCTGCAAATTCTACAAAAGGAAGAGATACTTTGCAAAACACCTATATACTTTTATCACGGTTTAGAGTTTTACTTTAGAATACAGTGGATTGATTATTCCTTAGTTATCAATTGTGATCTTCATAGAAAACATGGCTGGGTTTTGTTTTTTATTCCATCCTAATTGGAATCAACTTTGAGACACTTTTAAATGTATAATTTTTCAAATTTTTAAACCAAAATTTCTCAACATGACTATATTTTATTTTTCTTTCCATCCTAATTAAATACTTGATCTGTTTTTTTCTAATTCCATGCATAAAGTATCACCATAAATTGTCAATAAGAAAACTCAAATTTTCAAAGTGTAGATAAGGCTATAGTTTCAGAATTTCAAAATTAAAAAAAAAAAACATTTGCAATCCTATTTATTTGGTTTGTAAATGTATATTTGTTAAGAATTTAGACCAAGTAATAGGAATTTAACTAGGATAAATAAGTAAATTATCTCTTAAACTTTATGTCTAGTAACACTATAGGCCTTGAACTTATTTATTATATAAATTATTCCCTTAGCTTTTGAAAAATATGCAATCTTACTCCCATCATTAACAAAAGTTAATTTTGATTATTAGTTGATCAAAGAATAATAGAAAAGGATCAAAATTTTTTTTTGCCCTTGTACGTAATTTGTTGGTCCTTTTCTACAATCTTTAAGGTCATTTTCTATCATTTTCTAGTCAATTAAAGTTAATTTTTGTTAATGGTGGGGACCAAATTGCATCATTTTCAAAAGTTGAGAGAACAATTACACAATAAAGAAGTTCAAGATCTTTGGTACTACTTGACCTAATTTTGGGTAGTTTGCTCATTTACTTTTTAACCTAATAAGGTTTAGAAAATTTTCAGTAACCTTTTTATTGTCTGAAAGAATAAAAGAGGAGGTCATGATCTATCCTTTATATATATATATATATATATATGCACACACACATAAAAAAAGACCATGTTAGCCTGTTTAATAATGTAATTTTTTGACAAAATGATCATCAATTTATTTATCTTATTACAAATTTATTTATAGTGAAATTATTATTTTTGTTCATTAAATTATCATTTTAAAAATATTAATTTTTAAATTAAATTATTTTGCGCTTCCCGGCTCTACGTCCTCGCTCTACCACAGCCTTTACAGATATTGCATAGCAACCAGTTTCTTTGAGTCATGTGTACAGGGAAAACATCAAGTAGGCACATCTTTTAGCTAATTACTCTATAGAACTATTGATAATTTTTTGTATCCTTGATCATCCTCTACCTTCCTACTTGAGGTGGAAAATGATGGAGGAGTAGGTTAGTGTTTGTTTGCTTTGTCTAGTTGTTTTTGTTCTTTGTTGCAGATTATTGAAATTGGGTTAAGGTGTAAAATTACTCACAAAATATTGATGAGGAGTTGCTGGTATCCTTAACTCAAGTGTGTGTATAATGCAATTTTATCAATCAACCCTACCAAAAAAAAAAAAATTGGTACATAACTGTCCAATTTTTAACGAAAGTTAAGCATCCATTAACTAAAGGTCATGATTAATCTCACATGTTTGCTACGTTTAAATGGGTGAGAGACAAAAATATCTATCATGTACTATACTATGGTGCAATTTTGTCCAAAATCATAAAAAACGATGCAAAAATCCCTAATCTAAAACAAAAACATATGTTAGCAGGCATTGACTATGAATGTCCAAAAAATTGAAATTTTATTTGATCCAAAGAGTAAATAATTAGGAAGTACATGTGTTCAAATTTGTCTTAACTAACACAAACACTAAGCACAATATTTTATTTTGTCACACTTTACCGTGAAGAGGAGAGGAAAGAGAGTTTGAACTAAATTAGATACTGAAAAGAAAAGAGTCAGCCGAGTTGGGGTAGCTTCTAGTTAGGTTTTGAATAAAAAATGTTTATGGGGTTGTGACGTGTGGCAAAATAAAATGTCGTGCTTAAAATTTATTTTAACCAATTCGGACAAATTTGATGACATGTATTTCTAAGCATGCAGTTCATGACAAATAAAATTTCAATGTTTCAACATTCATGGTTAAAATTTGCTAACTAGTACGTTTGTTACAAATTGGAGATTTTTGCACCGTTTTTAGGATTGGTGGGCAAAATTACATTGTATTGTACTACTTCATGGATATATTTGCACATGATATAGCATATCGGATCTACAACAGTTAATGGATGTTAGAGATTTTTACTCATATTTTAGAGTTGATAGGTAAAATTGTACCATATTTGAGTTAAGGATCCGTAGCTTCTTACAAAATATTTGTACCTTAACCCATTGAAATTAGTTTATATTAATGGCTTCAAGTTCAAAGCAGCTACCTGTATTTTCATATTCAAAACATGCAGTTAGGGACCATTTTCCATACCTGAACTGTCTGCTAGGACTTGGATGAGACAAGGTTCCACAAGTTTCCTCTTTGAACATGACATCTGGTACAGTACTAACTTTCCAGTTTCTTAAAGCTGCAACGAATACACGACCAATCCTTATAAAAGGGTTTTGTTTGCGGTCTCCAACGGTTATAAACCTGTAAGTCTTAGTTCCAAAGATGAAGGTGACCAATGCAACTACCAATAGAAGAGAAGGGATTCCAAATCCGAGGACCCAACTGAGATTGTCCTGAATATAGTTGGAGAGCCCAACAGTTAACAAGCAAAATGCACATGAAGAAAAGTACCACCAATTGAAGAATGAGCTTCTTTCTTTGCTCTCCTTTGGATGATGTTCATCAAATTGATCTGCACTAAAAGCTTGAATACATGGCTTATGCCCTCCTTGCCCTAAGGCCACAATATAAAGTGCTATGAAGAAAAGGATCGCTTGTGGCCTAGTAGAACGTGGTTTGATCACTTTGTGGCTAACTTGAGACTCACAATTGATGAGAGAAGGAAGCATGGTTGAGAATGTCAACAACCCTAGTCCCTATGATTCATATCAAGCTATGTTATAGTGGTTCTCTTAATTGTTTTATTGAGTAATTTAAATGATTCAAGCAAAGAACCATTCATATTTCAACATTTATTATTTAATCCTAATTGATTTTCATTAAAAAAAATTATTGGTTTAATTAATTATACAAGTGTTGGTCTTAAATATATAAACAAGTAATCATTTGAGTTTTGCCCAATAACTATACATAAGTAACAAGTACCTATTCGTTCATAAATAACTTACAAAAATTGATAGGACATGTAATTATTATATAAATGTTGGTCCTGAATAAATAAGCAATCATTTGAGTATTGACAAGTACTTGTATGTTGATACCAAATGATTGTTCAGCTGTATTTTCCGTTCACTTTACAGGGGTCATGGGTCTTTTTATCCTAAATCTTATTTTCAGTCATGCCTGGGGGTGCAGTAGCTACGGGGTCCTTAGGTAATAATTCCCACCACACTCCCCTAAAAAAAAAAAAAAACTTACAATCACGGCAAATTTTTAAACACATCCTTACAAATTTATTTGATTCATTTCTTATACTTATATGCTAAATTCCTATTGTTAAAATTGTATTAATGTTGATGTTTGGGGCCATATTTTAACACACACACATATATATGGGCAAATTATGAATAGGACCCTTACAATAAAATAATTTACAAATAAATCTCACGAAATTAAAATTTTTTAGGACTTGAGTGTAATTTGAAGTTTAGGATGCAAAGAAAATACTATTGTTATTAATTTTGGCTTTCACTTATAACTATAACTTTAAAATTACACTCAACTGAAAGGATATGACTGTAATTTATGAATTTTATGAGATTTATTTGAACATAAATATGCTGTATGGGACCAATTTGTAATTTGCATTATACATTATTGTGATATCTTAAAATCATAGTCAGAATAAAGAAAATATGAATACCCAGGTAAACTTAATTTATACATATGATACAACCTCCAAAAAAAAAAATTGTGTGTATAATTGATTGTAACAAACGAATTAAGAGCCCATTTGTTTTAGCTTATTTCTTAAAAAAATCATTTTTTTTTGAAAAAAAAACTAGTTTGTAAGTATTTATGGTCTTTGTTTAAACTTTTAAAAATAATCTAAATTAAAAAAAGATTTCTAATTATTTTAAGAAGGTATCAAAAATAATCTAATACGGTAGATGAAAGAAAGTATTTTAAAGAGATGAGATATGCAAATATATCATAAAATTTTAAAATAATATAATAATAAATTATTTTTGTAAAACAAAAATTAAGGAAGATATCATAAAATTTAAAAATAACTAACTAATAATCACTTTTCTATTATTTCAACCAAACTTAAAATCATATCTGGTTTTTATAAAATCTCTATAAAATAAATCTCTAAACTATCTAAAAAATTACTTATTTTTTAATCTTAAATAAATGGGCCCTAAAAGTAATATTTTCAGGGAATTAAATTTAATTAGTAATTAACGAATTAAAAAATAAAACAGAGGAAGAGTTTTACCAGAATATAGGTGAAGGAAGCTACAATTATAGTGCGATAGCGTCCGATATAAGAATCGGCGAAAAATGCTGCAAATAAAGACAGCAACGACGTCGTCCCAACCCAGACGTTCACGTTTGAGGCAGCTGTGGCCATGCTCTGATGGAGTTGTTTGGTTAGGAAGTTCATCAAGTTTGACAGAATTCCATAGTAAGCACCCCTTTCTGCAGCTTCCACACCTACAAAGAATAATGATCCTAAAATAAAATTGCTTATGATTATTTAGAATTTATAATTATATGTAGATATATTTTTCTCATTTTTAAAGTTTCATTATAATTGTCTCCTATATAATTAATCTCCCTAGTTTAAAAATAAAACACATGCTTAATGTTTCTTTTTTAAAAAGGGTTAAAGGAAAAAATTATATAAGGAGTTTTTTTGCCAGGATCGTTCAGTATCGTTAAGTCTATTATAATATATGAATATCAATAAACCCTTTTTTAGTAAGGGCATCATTTCATATCCCGTTAAATTTTTTGGCGTCCGTTAACATTGATCATAAGAAAAAAACGTAAAATACAAAAACATTCAAAAACATTTTTTTCAGGTGCCAAATTACGCGGAATTTTGTTTTCCCTGTTGTAAAAGTATTGTGCTCCATTGGTTGACTTAAGGATATTAAAAATTTCTAAAAAAAATAGATATTTTTACTCCTTAACCCAATATCTTGGGTTCACGTTTACAGGCGTTAAATTATTTTTTAAAAAAAATAATGGGTATTCTTGCATCTCAGTTGACCTAAAAATATTGGATATTCCTGACAAAAAAGTTCTTAAATATTTCTACCTTTTAGTTATTTTTTAAATTAAATTTTTAAAGATTTAATAGAGTTCAAAGTCAAATCTTAATTGTTAAACAATTTGTATCGGCACATAACTTAAAATTTAAGAAAATTTATCGTCTTGATTACAAATTCTTTTATTTTTACGACAAATAAGAGAGATTCTGTACTAAAACTATATTTACTACCACAAGAGGCTCCATCAACCTACTATGACTTTTTTTTAATAATCTTGAAAATGATGAAAGAATAATTTTAAACCATTTAACATCAACCAAACAAAAATTTACTTCAAAAGAATAGTTTCCTCCAAATTAAAGTATACATAAAGAGAATTTAAGCTTTTCAGTTGAAAATAACAATAAAACATAGGAAAAAAACACAAAATAATTAAAAGGAAATTAAACTATACAGGTGATGAAGGCCACACCTATGAGGAAGCACACCGATCTCCAAGAGCCGGACTTGCATCTTCTGGCAGGGCGGCCTTTGTAGTCAACAGCACCATCCACAGTGTCGCCGGCCACCAGCAAGCTTTCGGCCATATTCCGATCTGGCAAAACGCCGCCGGATTGGTCGTTGATGATTTTGATAGCCATGAACCTCTTCAAGAGTCTTCCCTTGCACTATCCTGCTTGCTAATCTAAAGCTTATACATTATGAAGTCTGATAAATTTGTTTATATGTCTTTGTTTCTATAACGTGATGCATCTTAAATGTCAACAAACCGTTTTTTTCAACATATCAAAACTTGATTATAGTTTTTATTTTTGTTTTTGCTCTTTGGCCAAATGATTGTAGTTTTTGTTGCATAGAAAAGAAAGAACGTGCGAATATTTAATTATTACAAAAGCCAGGTTTAATTATAATATACTATCCAAAAGATTTACCAAATCTGGCTGTTTTTGTCCTTTAGTGGGTGAATTTTATGTAACGTGCTGTCGTTTAATTGTTTATTTTCACTTGAAAGAATAGTTGCAATTTTTAAATAATTAATAGAATTTTTAAAAGGTTTCGTTTGTGACATGATAAATCGTTTGATAATTACTTTTATTAATATTTAAAGGTAGTCCATATGAAACAAAGGTAATAAATAAATAAATAAATAAATTCAACTTAATTATTCTTCCTACTAACAATTAATTTTCTTTTTTTATTACCTGGGTGAAACATGAGATATTACAACCTCCTATCAAAATTTAATTCAAAACTCTATTGTGTAGGATCATCATTGCTCACGACATGAGAAAGAAATTGTAAAAAAGCATCGGACATATATGGATATATAATTTCAAACAAAATAATGAAGAGAGAGAGAGAGAGAGAGAGAGATTACAAAAATAAAGGAAAGGAATATAATAAATATGCATGTTATAGTATTTCATAAATTGTGAATTCATATTAATTAATTATTTGGTAAGCTTTAAGTTTAAACAACATTAGTTAAATTAATAGGAAAATTACATATAGGTCTTATGGAATATATTTATTGATAAATAAGTTTCACAAAATTTAAAAATTACAACTAAGTCTCTTAAGACCTAAGTGTAATTTAAAATTAGGTTGCAGAGATAATAATATCCTTATTAAAAATATATTATATCAATTAAATAATTTACAACTACTTCATAATTAATTTACAACTCTCACTTCAAATTTTTGTAGCTATAACTATAAATTTTAATATCAAATATTCAAATCTTTTAACTATTAGATATATAAAATTATAGTTATAAAAAAGTTAAAGTAACAATTGTAAATTACTGATGAAGTAATTATAAATAATTATTATTAAACTTTATTAGTAATGCATGATCATTTTAATTATTAGATATCAAAGTTATTATAGTTGTAAATTATAGATGAGATAGTTGTATATAATTAATATTAAATTTATAACTCTTGATCAGTATACACATTGGATATGTGAAGTTAAAATTATAAAAAATTGAAGTAATAATGATACATTATTGATGAAGTAGTTATAAATCAATTAATTGATGTAATAAATTTTTAATAGAGGTATTATTATCTTTACACCCTAATTTTAAATTACACTTAGATTCCAAGGGTCACCATTAATGTATTTATTTAATTGGCTAAATTTTTAATCAAGAAACCGTGGCATGTCATACCATTTCATTGATATGTGATTTTTTTATAGTCTCCACTCTAGCCAAATTAGAACAATAATTATGGTTATTGCCTAATGAGCTTCATATAGGACACTATGACCCATACCCCCACTACATTATCTGACAAGATATATATTAAATTTAATTATACTTAAATTATAAATTTTAACTAACTTTAGATAGCTAACTATTAACTTGAATTTGTTGTGACTATATATAACATATAGTATTGAAGATGTCTATTGCGTTTGGTATATAGTTGCACACATAGATGAAATTCTTGAAAAGGTGGCCCAAGTCATATTCAATATGTGGGCAGTGGCAGTAGTTAGATTGGCCCAATAGTTTAGTTTGGTGTGTGTGTGTATATATATTGCATATTACATTTTTGGCCAATTTTTATGTCTTAGACCACTTAATTTTAGAAATTTAATTTGTAAATTAGCTATAATTATAGATTTTTTAGAGCTTAGGGTATAGGAATTTTAATGCATTTGGATAGAAATTTTAATAGAAATATTGATTGTATAGTTTTTGGTTGCTAGCTATCCATTTTGGTTGCATTATGTGTATTTTAATGCAAGAGCCGCCCCTTATGAAAAAAAATACTATAAATACTTGACGATTATTTCATAATAATTGTCAAGTATTTATGCTAAAAACCAAGGAGACTGCTGGCTTGGTTTTTACCATAAATAATTGATGATTATTTCAAATAATCGTCAGGTATAAGCTTTCAAAACTAACGACAACCAAATCTAAAAGCAAATATTTGACAGCTATTTGCAAGACTTCAAATACTTGACAATTTTTAATTGTCATTGGCAAAAATAACTGTCAAGTGTGGGGTTCTTCTGCCACTGTGCTTGTGCTTCTTTGCACACTCTTTGACCCCTAGGGAGTTGTAAAATACACTTAGATGTGCTTGCTGTCATTGTTGAGATAGTACCATCTTTCTTCTTGTCATCCTTTAATCATCACAACTGTAACATCTCAAAGTTTAGGCCTAAAAAGTCAAGAATATGCTAAAATTTAATAAGTTACTAAGCACAATTAATCAAGAATCCCTAAAGTATCTTGAAAAGGTAGAAATAGAATGACTTTCAAGGATCAAATAATTTTATCACAAAGAATTGGTAAATAATTTTGTAGCTCACAAACACAAAAGTTAATATGCAAATTCATGAGTTACCTTATACCTTATATGACACTAGAATTCTATAACAATAATTAAATCTAAGACCTCAAAAATTACAGACATGGCCTTCATAGCCACACTTTAGTGGTTAATTACACCAATAAATTTTGTATCTAATCCTTCGATTATATGATCACATAACATATAATTGGATTTTAACATTTCAAGAACCACCAGTTAACTCACATACAAATTTTTAATATTCTCCTGGAGACGAGGCCACAATAATTTTAATTTAAAATTTATTTTATTTTTAAAAACGACTTTAGAGTTATTAAAAACAAGTTTTGTATGTGCACTTAATTTAAAAACATGGACCTTAAACAGCGACGCCTATCACATATATCATGAATAAAATCCTAAAAAAAGAATGAATACTGTGAGTTTGATGTCCTAAACGTAATCACAAATCCAATCATCCAACAAAAGTTCAACTCGTCTCATGCATTTGCTACTATAATCTAGCATAATATCAAAAAATAAAAAAAAGGGAAAAAAAATTACATGCTGGAGCTAGCCAGTGACTAAAGCATTAACAGCAAAATAAATACAGTGAAGATGAAAACAATAATGTCTCATCACTTTTCTTGTGCTCGGGTTACACTACAAATAAATAGATTAATAATAATAATAACTTGAAACAAACATAGACAATCAAAACAAACAAAACATAGAAATGAACCTACAGAAAACCACTTTAATATTCATCGATCAGTTTCTGCACGACACAATTATTCTTTCCTTCCTCTCTTGTTGATCCATTGTATCACATAGAGCAATCCCTTTAGTTTCTGACAAGCATAGCGAAGAAGAAGCAGTGCATAAGATGATGATGCCAAGTATGCCATAAGAGAAAAGGTCATTTTTCCTCCCTAATGATATCAAATATGGGCAGAATATGGCTCCAAATACAATCGCCTGTCTGGCCATTGATGTTACAGTATTCCTCACACTTGTCGGAAATAATTCTACCACATATATGACAAAGATATCATAAGCTGTAGCTACACTAAAGAATGAAACCAAAGCAACGACTAGTTTTGCTATGTGTAGTTTGTTTCCCATCATACCACAAATCAAACAAAAGATCCCACTTGTTATGGTGAAGACAAGAAGTGAAGGTTTTCTTCTGCAGTTATTCAACAAGTATGTGGCTATAAAAGCTACGATGTCTAGTAAACCATAGAAGATAACACTCAAGTATATGTTGAATCCCAAATTTCCCACATTAAAAGGCATGCCAAAATACACCATTCCTATGCCAAAAACCAAGAATCAGAACTGCTAACAGTCGTTTAAGAGCCCATCTTTTCGCAAAAAGTTCTCTAATTTATGAGTAGAAGTTAAAAGTTGAAGTACTTTGTTTGGCATATTCTACTAGTAGGCTTGAAGTCAAAGTTGCACTACCTTGTGTTGAAGTAGTAGAGATTCCTCTAAGTAACGCTATGGCTTCCTTTTCTTGACCTCGCATGAGAAGCCACCTAGGAGACTCAGTGACAAAAATATAAGCAAAGATGGAGTAGCAAATTCCAGGAATGGATACCCAAAGGTAAAGAGACTTCCACGAGGAATCTCTATTAATATAAGCAATAGCAGGCAAGGATAGAAACCCTAATGTGAACCAAATGTATTCAATGACTCCAACTCGAAACCTCCACTCTTTACGAACTTTCTCTGTCAACAAAACCAGAGAACAAGTGCCCATTGATGAGCGACAAAACCCAATCACAAACTTTAAAGTAGAGTACACCCAAAGGTTGGTGGAGAAGACAATGATGGATGAAGCAATTGACGATGTTAAACAAGAGAGAAACATCATTTTCTTCCTGCCAAGAGATGAATCGGCAAAGTTGGCAATAAGAAACCCAGCAATAAAGCTTCCAATGAAGAAGGATGATTGGGGTAAGCCTATAAGAAATGAACCAGCACATTCAAGGCCCCATTGAGATATGATTGTCATTGAAGAGGGTCCATTCCAAGCCCAAACAGATCTTGGAAGCTTGCAAATATCAGAAACTTTTGAGCTACAGATAGTGTGATTGGTAGTTGTGCAATGCCATGTAGGGCGGGCATCAGTGTAGATACTGATGAACGATTATTGTGCATCAAAGAACATTGATATGGACACAAGAAGTGTTTGCAGGAGTTGTGTCCAACCAAAGTTTCCTAGACCATGCTCTATCATATCATCCAATGATGTTTGTGAAGCTCTCACTTTTGGATCAATATGAGTTGAAACCTCTCCTTGATTTGATATGATATGATCATTCAAATATGGTAATGTAGTATTTTTCTTCCCTTCTAAATCATATTGAGGTAAAATTCCAATTGGCCCTGTCAT